ATAATAGGGACATTGAATGATTGATTAAATTTGATTGAAGAAATTTTCTATACTGTTAGCGAGTATTTTGTTTGTATTTTTTTACATAGAATATAAAATTTTATTATTTCTTTTTCTGATCATGGGGATGTAAAGGCATTGAATAATTCGCGAATTTCCAACAATTAGTAAGTAGAATATTTTTCAGCGATTCATAAAAAAATATTTCCATTCAGGATTCTAAGATAAATAATAAAATATTAAAAACTGGATTTTCATGGAGATATTTTATATTTTTTAAAACGATTGAATCGATCGTATGACGAGCAGGGACGAATTGAGGGCGATTTTAAAAAGTAAAGGTGCTTTATATCGCGTGTATGCTTATCATCACGATTTGAGAGCATAATACAGGGTGTCTCATAAACAGCACTACGATAAAAAGTTCAAATATCTCCACTTCAGTTCAATTAAATGGGCTAAATTTTTGGCTAATCGGAGAGCTTTATTCAAAATTTTTTTCATACGGATAATGTAAGCAAACACTTCTATTAATTATTATTATTGACCTCACTAAAGAAATTTTATTTGTTATCACGTAAGAAAAATATACATGAAGAGTTTCATAGATAATTTTTAGTTGTTACCTAAGAGAACAACACGTAGAAATCAAAACAAGATTTATAAGTGATATAGCATTGATGCGAATAGACCAAATTGTCAAGCACGGAACACTGGCTTTGTCGAAGAAATTGATGATTCAATCTCCAAAGGACTTTAATTGTGCGTTTCACTTTTCAGACACGGCTTATGGCGTTTAAAAATGCTAGTTGTGAAAATTTGGTCTATTTGCATCAATGCTATATCACTTATAAATCTTGTTTTGATTTCTACGTGTTGTTCTCTTAGGTAACAACTAAAAATTATCTATGAAACTCTTCATGTATATTTTTCTTACATGATAACAGATAAAACTTCTTTAGTGAAGTCAACGATAATACTTAATAGAAGTGTTTGCTTACATTATCCGTATGAAAAAAAATATTTTGAATAAAGCTCTATCATTAGCCAAAAAATTAGCCCATTTGATTGAACTGGAGTGGAGAGATTTGAATTTTTTATCGTAGTGCTATTTATGGGACACCCTGTAAATGACTATAGAAGAAGAAGAAGAAGAAGAATACCCCTGCCTTGCGGCCACCTTCCAGTATGGGGTGCTGTCCAAGGACAGTTTCAGAAGCCCGATGTTTTTCCTGTAACTATTACTAGTTGCAGCTCTGGACAGAAGGCTGGCCTGGCTCAGAGTTCTTCTCGCTTAAGCTTCCCATACATACTGACTAACCACATACGAGCCATAAAGGCTTTTTGTGTATGTAGACAACGTAGTCAGCTTGCTATCGGATGGGTGATCCGAGACAACACAGCCGTTAGTGACTTGTCCAAGGTCATTCTATGTATGATGGTGCCGAGATTCGAACACACTATCTTGTGGATATGAGTCGAATATCTTTACCACTCAGCCATAGCGGCCATAAATGATTATAAGTACTAATGAAATTGAAACTTAATTTTCTCTAAATATTACAATCAAAGATATATGACACATAATGGTGCCTATAGAAAAATTAAGCATTTAGTGAATGCCATTGAATCGAGGGTGGGTATGGGTGAGCGTGTCGGTGTTGGCAGTGGCTTCTCTCACATCCACATCCGTACTCACACCCACACCCACACTCACATCGATACCCACACTCACACCCACACCCACACCCATCTTATCTAAAGCTGTATGCTCTCATCATCATCATCATCTGAAATAGGCTTGCCGAATTGTATTCAATAATGAAAATTGTTTCAATGACTCGCTGTTTCAATCAAAAGAATCCTTGAATAATTTCTATTTAGTAATGAATAATTGTATTTCGTGCTTAGTCTTTTAAAGTTGCTCTTGACTACATGAAAATCTTGAACGAAATCGTAGAAACTATTTCTCAATGATGGAGTTCTTATATTATGACGTGAAGAAATGCACTTACCAATTTTATCCTCAAAAATAAATATAGAATTTTCTCTCTTTTTCATCTTCATATTTAATCCAAACTCATATGAATTATTAACATCTATCTATATCTTTTAAGGTATTTTCATACATGATATTATCACATGACGCATTAAATCGTGAACGTGATTGGTTTGAATCATCTCAATCATTATTATATGGTGGTGTAAGTGATTATGAAAATACTGAAAAAGCTGTACGTGAATTACTTTTTACATTAATTCGTGAAACATTTTTAATTGGAATTTGTTGGTTAACACAAATGTATACATTTCTAACTGATCATTTTGCTAATCATGTTAAATCAGCTTTACTCAATACAAAATTTTCTCATTTAGAAGATCATGTTAAATTTTTAAGTTTAGTTGATCTTGAATATCATACAGTTACACGTAAATTTATTCGTAATGCTGTCACAGCTATTAAACATGCAAGATATGCTAAAATGGTTTATGCTGTTCATAATGTATCTGGTACTTTAAAAAATCTTGTCGGTTCATTTTCACCTATGAATATGATTACCGAAAATAACAATAACAATGATAGTAATAGTTTGGGAAGTAAAGTACTTCAAGTTGCTCAAGATGCTATACCAAAATTAGCAACTGGTGTCAATCCTATTACAGCTATTGCAACTTCAGCTATTACTACTGTTACAGGTCATAAAAGTCCACTTGATTTAATTTATGCAACAGGAAAATTTTTAACTAGAGATCGAGATCCACAAACAGTGAATTATTTACCACAAACATGTAATAAAGTTAGTGAATTATATACAGCTGTACGTGGTCAACTTCTTCATGATATTACAACAAATTTTTTTGCTAATCTTGTTCTTGAAATTCAACAATATAAATCAATATCAATTGAAAATTCTCTACAAAATCGTTTAAATCGTATGTCAGATAAAGATATTGCTTATATGGCTAATATTGAAATTGAAAGTAGTCGTCAAAAAGTTCTTAATAATCATGAAAGTATTAAACGACTTGAACAAGCACGTGATTCTATTGAAGATGTTATTGCACTTCTTAATAATAAAAATATAGAAAATAATATATTTAATATGAATAATGATAGTAATAATATTAAGAAACGAATTCGTGCAACACATGAAGATACACGTAATAAACGTTTACGTGATATTGCGAAAAAGTTAAAAATACATCAACAACATTAAAAAAAACAAAAAGAAGTTTCAATTGATTCAAACCAAGATGAAGATAAAAGTGATGATGAAACAAGTGAATTTGAAGATGAACATGAACTTATGAGATATGATGATAAAACATCAAGTGAAACATATTTACTTGGTATTTTTAGAAAACATGATTAAGAAGATCTTGAACTCGGATTTCTTAATGGTGATTCATTGAAATCTGATGTTAAATTTGTTGAACAACGACAACAACAACAACAACTCACCTTAATCACAACTATGGCATCAAACGTACGGATGATTGCAGATGGTTTCGAGCAAATATCATCTCTTCCTATTAGTATAAATTCCATATTACAACAACGTGAAGATACTTCATCTTACATCGTGTCTGACGATGAAGAAGATCGAAATTCAGTGATCGAAAATCCTATTAACAAAAAAGGTTCGTTTCTTATACATTAATTATAGTAAAATGACAGTAATCGATGTTAAAATGATAGGTAAAACAAACACAAATAGTCACGAGTTAACTTAACCATCTGTTGAAATAGTTACGATTTATTTTAATCCCAAAAAATCGAATTCTATTCAAATCGAATGGATGTGTTCTAAGTAGAACAGATAATTATCTAATGACATGATTAATCATTCTGTTGATATTCATCACAAAAACCTAATACTTTTAACTTAAACAATCTGCATCATTTAATTTTCTAAAAGAATATATCAAAATTTTATTTGAAATCAAAAACTAAGAAAACAAGTATCATAAAAATTTTTTAACAAAATTCTATGTTAACGATTGCAAATGATGATTGAATTTGATTTTCAAACAAATGTCGACAGACACTCTAAACACTTCATTATCATCTATTTATATTTGTCAAAGATTCCAAACAATAAGATGATTATCTTCTTTCAACCTTTTCCGATTCATCTAAGATTATATGCTGTATATCTATGCTTCTACGAGATAGAATAGACAAAATGTTAGGTATCTATTTTTGAAAATTTGTTTCGAAACATTTTTGATTTTCTTTCTTAAAGTTTGTCGCCTGTTTGCGAACGTTCATTATGATCATCTTTGAGGCATAAGAAGACGGTTAAGAGTCGATCATTTTTTTAACGTAGAGAAACGTATGCAATGCATGATACTAAACCATGCACCGAATGAATTCAAATTTATGTGTTTTTAACTTGTTCATCATATGAGGCAGTTTTTACTTAATATGAAACCTTCGATTCATTGTTGTAATTCATTGTATGATGAGTGTTTTAAAGAAAATATGAGCAATTTGTCTCGAAAGTCAATAGAAGTTGATTAAACAAAGACATGACCATTCATCCTAAGGTATTCCTTCCTTAAAATCATAAGTTTTTTATTATTGAGTCGACCTTAATATTTATTTTACAATCTGCACACTTCATCAAGTTAAATATTGACACATGACAGTGTTCTTTCAAATTTTTCAGCTCATTTTTTTTGAACAACTTGAATATGGTGTTTTTTTTGTATTCATAGATTCATAATCGGCTTTATTATCAACAAACGAGATTTCTTTTACAACGAAATTCAATCTATGATCGTTTATAATAATCAAGAATTACAATGATATTCTTATCAGAGGTGGAACCGGTTCGGTTTGGTTGGAACGAATCGATATTATTTTATAGTTTTCTAATCTAAATATAAGCTAGTAATTCTAAATATTTTTTATATTCTTTGCGTTTAATTTTTCTTGATTCAGGGTGTACATATTTTCATCGAAGGGTAAAATAAATTATAAAAGACAAGATTCAGTACCGTCCAATTTACCTGATGGGAAGATTTTTAAATTCGAAAGCGCGAAAGATGAAATATCTACCTGTCGAAAAATGAGAAGAATGCATAGAATATATTGGGTGTATGTGGTTGTAGTTTCAATGAGTATTCACACCCACACCCTACAGATAAGAATAAAATCAGTTTATTCTTCATTACTAATTTTATACAAAGGATATTTTGAAAATCTTGTCTTAACTTTGTTTTGATAGAGTTTTTTTTATATTTACGAATGTTTCTGGAAAAATATCAGATTCTGTTATATTTGATCAGAAAATGATAGAATGTTCCATAGAGTTTTGTTTACACCCAACTACCAAAATTCATTCAGTTTTTATAAACCACTTAAAAAACAAGTTGTAAACCAATTTAACAGTAAGCACATTGTACATCTCAATAAAGACATGTGGTTGTGAGCTAAAATGACTTTTATTTTGTGTAGTTTCTTAAAAATATACTGTTATTAATTGTGAAATGTTCTGCAAAAGTAAGTTTTACAGTTTCACATATCGAATCGATTTAGGACAAAAAGTTTAAGAAGGTTTTTGTACATATTGTTGTAGTTTTGGAAAAGCTCGATCTAGTGTAGTGGATCTTGTTTGAATTGGTTATGAATCTGCTAGCAGTAAACGATAACAATCTAATGTCGCAATGATTTGTATATTTGACCAAAGTTGATATCATTTTGTATAAGACCTGTAGAAAGCAGTTCAAAATGTTGCATCTAAAGCAAGATATTTGAGTTTTTTTTGAAGAAATTAAATGCAAAATTGCAGAAATTTACTGGGTGTGAGTGTAGTGTAAGTAAAGAATATCCACGTTCACACCCACACCCACAATAACGTATTAAAAATGTAACATCTGAAAGTAGTCCTTCTACGAGAAAGAGTTGAGCGAGTCTGTAGACGAGCATTATTTGTATTTTGTGTCTTGTTTGTTATCTAAAAATCATTTTAATAAACACTAAGTGAATTCTATCTAATTAGACACTTAAATGGTGTGGATTTTGGGTGCGAGTGTTGAAGCATAGAAGATCCGCACCCACACTCACATTTCATCAAACACTGGAATTCACACTCTCGATTGAATATAATAAGCTTTCACATTTTCATATGTTTTTTTTTTCTAAGCTATTTCTCGATTATTTATTGATCGAGAACGTGCTTAGAGATGAATCTATGATCACTAGAGGACTGTTTCAAGGCCGTCTAAGCGTGATCAAATGAACTCGAGAGGGCTAAATTTCAAGATCTGATCGCCTTGCGCTTTAATAATAGACATCACTAATTGGAATGAAACTTGGAATATGTTACTTATTTCGTTCTGCACAAAGAATG